CACTTGCCTTGTGTCTCCGTTGCCTTCACTCACAAGGGATCCATTGACTCACCTTGCTTTTGGTGCCTTTAAACGGTTTGTGTTGCTGTTGCTTCTGGGCCATGTCACTGCAACAATCAAGTGACAGTCAAAGTACCGATGCATCCTCTCTTTGTGCCTTGATTTGCTGCTGCTTTTAAAACTCACTTCCCCCCCTTGATCCTTTCTAAAGCAAATCAACAGACAGCAAAATGATAACTAATACAATTGAGCTCCTTGGAGCTAGCGATACTCCTGCAATTACAACAGCAAGCGGCAATACAGCAAGCAGCAAGCGGCAATACAGCAAGCAGCAATACAGCAAGCAGCAATACAGCAAGTGGCAATACAGCAAGTGGCAATATGGCAAGCAATACCTCAACCAATATATGACTGGTATTTGGCCCTCTGTCATGAAAGAACCAGCAAAACAAACCTCTGTCAACCATCCTGCAGGAACCCTAATTACAAAACCACAAAACGTCAATGGAGAGGTGTATAAGCAGATGTTACTTGATGAGGTACTACCTGCAATTTACAAGAAGTTGTCAAGGTGATCTAGTCTTAATCCTCTGGAGATTATCATTCAGTAGGACTGGTACTGGGTAAGCTTCTGCCAACAATCCTGTCRGTTGAGCTCTCCTGTCTAGCAGATTGTTTGAGGCTCACAACACTGAATCTTGTGGAATAACATTCTCCAGTCCAGACCAGATGGCACACTCTCCTTCTCAGTGTGAATCATTAGTTTTGTTGATGACTCTACTGTCATCACAGCTTCACCCCCAGATGCTTCCCTTGCAGAACTCTTAGACAGACTTTGGTCAGATGCACAACTATGGCATGATCTTCTCTGGTGCTCTGGTGGGAAATTAGAACTTCCAAAATGTGGATTCCATCTCCTTTACTGTGATCTCCAGTAYCTCCCTGAGACTCCCTTTGATACTTCCTCATGTGCTTCATACTACTGTTGATATCTTCCTCACTGATCCTACTAGAGAACCAGTCCAAATGCTTCATAGAATATTTTCAACCCCAACCTCCTCAACAACAACCAACAACATTGTATGAAGACAATGATGCTACAATAAAAATTTTAAACTCAGGAATTCCAACCAAACAATCACGACACATTGACATACCATACTTYGCAATACAAGATTTTTTTTGGAAACAAGGCTTATATATCAAGGTGCAGTTCATCAGTGGTAAAATCAACCCTGCAGATGCACTCACTAAACCTCTTGGCTGGGTCCTTCACAATTGCCATGTACACCAACTCTTTGGGCACTTTGCTCTTGTTCCACCCAACTGATATCCTCCTTCCTTGTCTTTTCTGCTCTGATCTGCTCAATTTACACATCACAGATCACAGGAGGGTGCTGTCTGTAGAATATCAGATCATKGGTATGATCCATATCTACGACACATACATATGACACATATCTATGATTCATACACACTCTACATTCATTACTCATTTGATCCTGTGGATCCACACAATCAACTTGACTCGTTTTATTCACTTGTGTGAGTGAATTGACTCATTCGATTCACACATCACTCAATCTTCATTCTGATTGATCTTAGATTTCATAGTTTGATTGGTTCTCCACCACCAGAATAGTTGCAAACTACCTCGGATTTTGTACTGTGTTCTACTGCACTAAGGATGGCATCATCAAATTGTTGATGGGAACCACTTTCTAAGTGCAGCAATCACTTGCCATGATATCATCCATAGTATTGATACCGGTATGTATGTATTGAGCATTGAATACTACACATAAAATAATAATTGAAATTATGTCAATTGAGGCATTGGRAACATTAATTTTACATTCAGAATGTTAGCATTTTAGGCTGTGTAGAAATAACTACTGAGGTTTTTCTTGCTTCAATTTTGCGTCCTGAATGCTCTCCTGCTCAACAGCAGTCTGAAAGTTAGCAAKGGAGGCGTCCTCTTCTCCCTGTTTTTTAAGGTACTATGTGCAAGACCCAAATAATTGTTTTTGGTAGGTAGGGCACTACCACATTCGAGAATGCCGATTACTGGAATACTAGGATTGCATCTTCTACGTACTCATGGTCCTTCTGTTAATACAACATTTGGAATGATATTTCTAATTTCTAACATTCTGAATGTTAAATTAATGTTCCCATTGCCTCAATTAATCTAATTTCAATTGTCGTTTTGCGGTACCACRTACACGCAGTATGAGTGTTTTGCAACTTGCCACTACATGTTGCGGATCAATTGAAACTACGTTTAACAGGGTGTTCTGAATGCTAGAAAGAAAGTTCCAAATGTTAAGAATTTAAAATTCTGAATGTTAGCAGCGTAGGCTATGTAGAAATGCTTACTGTGGTTTTTGCTTGAGGAATTTAGCAYACTGAATGCTCTGCTTAACAGTCTGAAAGTTAGCAGGGGAGGCATCCTCCAAAATTATTTATTGGTTTGTTATGATGCTAGGGCGCTACSAAATGAAGAATGTGGATAATACTAGGATCTATGTAGGCCTACATAAAAATTAACATTCCATACATTAACTTTTTCCCGTCATGTGTTGCCAAATGTTGCCACCTGGAAAATTTAGGATTTTTTGTTGCTACTAGTACTACTACACTGATACTCCACTTATCACACCCCTCTCATCACTATAAACAAYATTAYAAGAATATATTTTAACAAATATACTAAATATATTCATTTATAACACACCACTACACTTGATGGTTGAAGTTACTCCAATGCTCTTTACATACAGCAACATTGCAACTTCTGCAACCATTCCTTGACATTCATACWAATCCGTGCTGGTAACTTCCTCAATCTCTTCTCTTATGAGTTAGTAGGATACCTATGCTTTGCTTCTTCTACACAGATAACACAATAATTCCTCTTTACTCCTTGATACTTGCCACTGCATCTTTCTTTATGTGGCTTTGACATTACCTTTCCATGAGCAATGGTGCTGTTTTTTTTTTGTTCACACAGAAGAAACAAATCCGGCAATTGCAAGGGTGATATTTTCCATTCTTTGAAGTCTGAGGCATCCACTCTGGCTTAGAACMTTCATCATATGGAGCTTTCAAGTCCATTTCAATACCTCTATTCATCAATGCAATGCCAAGATGAGATCGAAACTTGTTTTGGTTTGTATATCTTCTATTCCTTCATAAACTTGTCACATGCTAGGCTAATGATAATTAGTATGTAGCAGGAGTGTACCACTCTGTCAAGCAACCAGTATCATTAGCTTTTCTTCTGTTGTCACCAAAATGAATATATCATTTAACAAAGCCRCWTYTATTCTTGCTCATTGTATTCCTGACCATGGGACCATACACACCACCATCCTCAAGACAAGTCCGAAGAATTTGGGGAGATTGTTTTGAACCACCCAAACCCCCGTAGCAGATGCAAATACCAAGCCATGCAAGGATGTAACCAGAAGTGAAGTTCCATTGGTCTTTGACTGAATGTAGAACACACTTTTGTTTGTTGGGATTGGTGACATCACAGAGCTTGAGCATCTTTGTCTTCTTTACCCTTCCATTAGCATCAGCAGCTTCAACTTCTGTCACCCAATCTTCAAACGCACACCGGTTGGACTCATTTGCTACTATCATCTGAAGAATTTTTCCATCAAACAAGAACAAGAACAAACACTCCAACTCCTCCACCTTATTAGTGTACCCATCCAATGAATTGCTTACAGCATGGGCATGACCTGGGGTGGTCACACCTCCTCCAAGTGCTGTATCATACTGGTGGACATTGGGAGGAGGATACCAAGGGACACCCAGCATACTTTTTGATGATCAGATATGGGTCCATGGTCATCTTGGGAGGGGCTCCAAGTACAATGAGGGTGCAGGCCACCACCACTGTTGTCAGATAGGTCTGCATCATTCTTAGGAGTATGACCATAGTACGAACAATTGTTGTCAACCATCACACAGAAAAAGAATCATYATCATCCATCTTAGTAATATGATTATTTTATGTTGGTAAATATGTTGGTTTGGTTTATAGTTTACATTCTGGTATGGAGTGTTTTATATTTTCTTGGTTGGATATNAGGAACACACACTTGACTTGTACTGCTTGGATGTATATTTCTACTGTCGATTACATTACAGATTGCAATGAAAGGATTAGCACAACACGAAGGATTGTGTAAGTGGTGAATCCTTTGAGCAATTCAGTATATTCATTAGTTAGTCTCACAATACTAATTAGAGCAATCTAATAAACACTACTAAAGAATACTACTACAAAGTACACGTTATTTCGTGCAGGATATTACAAGGAGAGAAATGAATGAGCAGAAAAGGTGTTTTATAAAGTAGTTGTTTAAAACTCTTTTTGGTATTTCAGTCTTATTTTGTGTAGGATTTGTACTGCAGTCTACACAAGTGAAAATCATGGAAACTCCAAAAAAATTCCAAAAAATGCAGAAAAAGTTAAATAAATAAACATTTGGAACTTTATTTCTAACATTCAGAACGCCCTGTGAAACGTAGTTTCAATTTATCCGCAACGCGTACCGGTAGTAACGTTTTCGCTTCGATCCGTCGCACACTTCACGCCTTCGAAATTATGACCCCTGTGTATGAACTCGTTCCATTTGAATCTGCATCGATTGCCTGACTTGCTTGCTTGCGCACGAAGTACGTACAGTACCGTACGTACAGTAGTTTTGCTGAAATTGGCATGCACAAAAATTTGCAGCTACTAGGAGCAGCTAGCAACAGCCAGCTAGCAGCCATTGAGATCCTCAAATCCAAAATGTCCATGATTTTTGTTCACGAAAAATACCAAAAATACCTCTCTACTTGACATTACAGTACTTGTACGGGTACTTGTACCAATAAAAGTACAGCAGTCGTACGTGCTCTATGTTGTCATTTTGTTGACAACACTTCTGACCGTATCTGAGTATTAAGAAGGCTCTCGTAGGACAGGAAAGTGACCGGACAAGTTGATAACTAACCTATTCGAAGTAACTATGAGTGATCGTGAACGTTCTCGCTCTCCCGAACGCAGTGATGCCCCTGCCGATAAGGACCAAGATTACCCTCCTGCTGGTGGCGATGATAAAGCTCCAGCTGCTTCGCAAGATGAAGGTGGCGATGGAGGCAGTGCACCAGCTAACAATAGTGGCGATGCCGCTGGCGCCGGTGGTGGAGATGAAGTGAAACTTTACGTTGGAAATCTCGATTATGGTGCGTCACTTTACAAGAATTTCATGCGTCTAGGCTGATTGAATTTCTAGCCTCTCACTTAWAATGGTTTCCTCTTTTTTTCAGCAACGGACGAACAGCGTCTTCGTGATGAGTTTTCTCAGTTTGGAACTGTAACTGATGTCTTTTTGCCAGTCGAGCGTGACACTAGACGTCCTCGTGGCTTCGGCTTTGTGACACTTTCAACTCGCGACGCTGCTGAGAAGGCTATCTCGAAGATGGATCAAGCTCAATTGGATGGTAGAACCATTCGTGTGAATGAATCAAGACCCAAAGGAGAACGTGGAGCATCTGGACCTGGTGGCTCGGGAACATTCAACTCCKCCGGGAAAGATGAAGTMAAGCTTTACGTCGGAAACCTCTCCTTCGATACACCCGAGTCGGAAATTCGACGCATCTTCGAAGAGTTCGGAACGGTCACTGATTGTTTCATGCCTATGGATCGTGACTCTAAAAGAGTTCGAGGATTTGCTTTCGTCACAATGCCCGCTGCTGAGGCGGAAGTTGCTTGCAACAAAGTGAATGGACAAGAAGTCGATGGAAGAACTCTTCGAGTAAACGAAGCACAACCTCGCGGAGGAGGTGGTGGCGGCGGTGGCTACCGTGGTGGTGGTGGCGGTGGCTACAACCACGACGGAGGCGGCGGTGGGTAAGTCCACGTGACATTCATATGTATAGTTCGCATCGATGCTGTTATGTTGTCAATTTCTGATCAAGCTTGTTTGTGTGTATTCGCCTTTGGTCGTCATAGATACGGCGGTGGTTAYGGAGGTGGATACGGCGGTGGACGTGGAAGGTTCGTGATATTCTATCAATGATTCAGCTATCATCAGTTACGACGATTCAGTTCTTCGAATAGATTTATTTTTCGATGTCATGATTTCTCATCTCGTTACTATGTTTGCATTTGCTTGATTTATCCTCGTAGCTACGATGACCGCGGTGGATATGGTGGCGGAGGCGGCCGTTACGATGACCGAGGCGATGGAGGGTAAGTAAGACCAGTCCGAAACTCAATCCTTTTTTTGATTGCATCAACAATGTTTATTGTAATGAAATTACCATCATGTTCTTGCATGAACTAATTCTTCATCAATTTTCATCCTCTTCAAATTTAGATATGGTGATCGTGGTGGTCACCGCGGAGGGTAAGAATATGGCGTGACTTGAAATATAGGAGACCACGAAGCCAAGAACTGCATTATCTCACATCTTCCGTCCATTCGTCAATCGTTTTACTTCGAAATTCACACTAGGTACGACGACCGTGGCGGTGGTGGGTAAGAACTTTGAATGGCCATGATGCAATTGTTGTTGAAGTCGTTTGTTGCGTTCTAATCTTATCATTATTTCCCATTTGTCGACTAAAATGTCAGCGGATACCGTGGTGGTGGTGGCTACGGAGGAGGAGGAGGAGGAGGAGGAGGTGAGCCCAGTGTAACGATTGACTTCCATTGACAAGAAACATCACATGCCATTTTGCTTGCTTTATCTAACCTCTACGTCCTTTTCCCGCACCAACTTGAAACAGGTTATGACGATGGATACGGCGGTGGACGTGGTGGCGGGGGTGGATATGACAGGTACTAGGTTCTACTCACTATTCTTCTCTCTTATTCCCTCCCGCCTTGTTGCTTAAATGTGAAACTTTGAAGTTGTGGCTGTAAATCGTCGTGACTCAAAGCACAAACGGATAGTTTTCTGCGTTAAGGGGATCCAAGCAGTAATGGTAGTCTTTGGGATTTGATTTGTCTACAATTGGGTTACAGCTTTTTAATGATCTCGCGGTCCCGTTCCGTTTTCTTCTCTAGTGTCGTGCAATGAATATCTAAAATGGAATCTGAATAAACCAGACCAACTGATGAGCGGGTGATTGTATGTTACGTGCTGTTCGATGTGATCGGGTTGATTGCCTCGTAGAAATCGGGATGATACACGCATGTACTSAGTAAACTCGATTTTCTACGAGTGGAAGTATGTCAATGGATTGGTATACCTGTTGAAAGATCACACTTTCTATTTCAGAGTTGGTTGCGCGTTCGGAACGATGGAATCCTGTGGTCTTTCATGTCTTCATTAGTTGTACCATTTGATCGGAGTTAGCACAGCGCAGGTCTCTTTTCCTAGTCGATCTGTGCACTTCATATCCACGGGCCATTTTCCCTTATCGCTTGATAGGAAAGAACGGTTTTCAGGAACTCATTTTGGGCTCATACAAAGTTGTCCCCGTTCTGCAACGAAATAGTACTACGAGTATGAATTTGAACTCATATTTTCTAMTGAGTCAGGAACCCTCTCGAGCACACCAGTCCCCTCTCATGGCATTTTAGCAATGGCGACTTGTTTCTGATCACCATGAAAACGTGAATAGGTAGAATGACAAAGTGTACGCTGTTATTTTTGTTAGAGCGGTGTGGTCACATGGTTTTGCCAAAAGTTAATAGTACAATGGGAAGCCGRACATGAGGAAAGATATTGTCGTATGGTAAAGGAAGTRCTCTGTTAGAAGTAAATCCCAGGGTACAAGAAACTTTTACAGGCTTTACATTTTGCCACTGAAATATTTTATTTGCTCCAAGGTGTAAGAAAAAACTCTTGTGATCATATATCGTCCTTGTTTTCGTACAAACACATCACACACAATTGCTTGGGACTGGGTGATTGAGTGACCTATTCAGCTCATCTTCTCTTTTGGCCAGCCACGTGTCTATGATTTCTACTGGATCTATCAGAATATTCATTTCTTCTTGCATTCCAAAGAATACCAGAACTATTATGAAAAAAAAATTTATGGCCTTGTAATCACTGAGAGAAATTACAAGTTTAACATTCAGAACATTAGCTAGGTATGTGTTTGTAAAAATCACTAGCTGGTCCTTTGGTGTCCAAGGACTTTTCTTACCAATCTATGACTAGCAGTCCTGGCAGCAAAAGCTGTTAACAATAGACAATTTTATCCCCTCATACAGAGTCTCTACTGCAACATTTTTGATTGTCCCCTTAAAATTTAAAGTAAAACTCATTTTGAAAGGAATTGACCATGCAAATTGCTATTCCAAGAACTTTCTTTCATGCAGGGTTGGAGAAGCAGAGAGAGGAATATCTGTTATTGCACAACAAAGGGAAGTGAGTGGRCGTTGATTTGTAGATTGTCTTCTTATACTCTAATATAGTGGGAAAATGTGTTGTTGGATGCATAGGATATGAAGGTTTCATTTTCAAGAGGGAAGAGAATGTCCTCAGATGGATAAGAAGTTTGGGAATGGTGGAGTGAAGAGGACAGGATGTGTTGAACTTTCTTGTCAATCACTTTTCTTGCTGCAGGGTGTGCTGTTGAGAAATATTGTGATTGTGGAGGTCCTTATGATGCTGCTCCCAGAGTTCAATGTGTTAGCATACAAAGAATTTGACCAATACTCTAAGGACCTCAGAAAAATGCTAGCTAGTATGGATAAGCTCTTGGTCTCACATCCATTGTTTTCAGTCATTCTTTGAACTACTTTCAGCTGCTGCTCTCCCAGCATTGTAAGTTTCAATTTATCCATTCTTTTCATTCTATTGTCATGTGATCTAGTTCTTCATGTGTATCCATTTGGACAAGGCAAAAATGAAGTATGATATTATGATCCACTTCATATATGTCTCTCTGTAGAAGAAGTATCAAATCATATTATTCAATCAAGTCAGATCCAAGTTGTTATTGGTGGTAATGTAGTACAAACAAACAGCACAAAGATTCAATGAAGAAGAAGTTGATCACTAGTCAAGAAGAAGTAGTACTAGTGATCATTTTGTTTTCACAATAAGAACCACTACCAGCAAATTCAAAATATCTACTAGCTGTGGTGTGTGTTTTTCCAGCAGCTACTACTACTTGCACTCCCACCACCACTACTACTACTAGTAGTAGTAGTATTAATCATCAATAGTTGAATTGTGTTGGAGTAACATTTCCAATACCATGATAGTGAAAACTTCACACTATAGTACATTTCAGTGCATTAAGTTGCTGATTATTGCATTGAACTGGTTACCAGCAACAGCACCACCATTTAATTTTACTACATCAACAACCACCACCATACTTCTTTCAAGTAAGAATGTTCACAAGAAGAAGGGTTGCTAAAGTGCATCTTATTTTTTTGGACAAGCCAGATCAGGTGTACTGGGTATTTTGCACACTCAACACCATCAAATATTTGGCGCCTACTGTTAGATTCTTAACAAAGAATAAATTTATTAATTATCCACCATTACTCTTTTTTTGAGAAGATGTTTCTTGATTTGACACTCATTAAACCTCAAAGTTACCCAACTCTATGGTGCATGCATGAAAAATACGCACCTCCCCAACAGTAAACATCAGCTTTTCATCATCCTCATAATCTGAGAATGACGTTACTATCAAAAACACTTTCCCAATATATGGCTCCACAAATCTGAAGGTTTTCTGTCAAAATTGTCATACATCAAGAGATAGTACTAGGAGTGACTAGTGTCCTGTATTCTATGGTGCTAAAAGGAGTAAAAAAGAGGCACCATCACATCTTTGAAACTTCTGACTCATCTTGGCAATAGTCTATTGTTTTTCAATACTTCAACTGTAAAGGTGATAGAGTTGATGTAATCAGTTCTTCTCTGTACAAAATCTCTAAGGAAAAGGTGGGTGTGAGTAAATTGTTTGGCCTACTATCCAATATCCACAGTGGATCTGCCAGCAGTATGCCAGAGAATCTGGATGACCAAGTAATGTGCAACACTTGAGCTCAAGAAGTCTATTGCTGCTTAGAGTCTGCATTGGATGCTATTAATGCTGGAATGAGCCAGTATGAGACTTTATTGAAACAGATACT